TTTTTTTTTTTTTGGTCTTCCGACTTCAACGAGACGATTGAACAATGTTGTTCTTTCCCATTCAAGACACAAGAAAGTCGTGTACTAAAATGCACATAATACTGTAAGAGTCATACCCTGGCCTGTGTTAATCTCCCACTCCTGCCCTAACCCATAAAACAGTATCCATCAGCAAGCCAATCGCAACCTTCTCACCACCACACCTAAACCCTCCAAATCATCCGACCTCACGCCGCAAAACTCCGATCATACAACTCCCCCTCCACCTTCTCGACCTCCTCCAACCACCCGCGCTGCAACCGCCGCGAGGCCGACCGCAGCGCGCCCCCGCGCGCATCCACCGGAGCCCTCACCCACATCCTCTGCCCCTTTCCCGTTTGCTCCTCCACCGAAACCGGAAACCACGCGTCCGCCAGCCCCGTCGGCTGCGAATTGATGTAGATATTCTCCCACTGCCCCCGATTGACGAGGTAGGTCTCATGGTAGATGGCGATGTGCGGATGCGCCTTGACGACGTCGGCCCACCACCGCACCCCGGCCATGTGCACGGGGTCGTGCGCGAACCGGTGCAGCGCGTCGTAGTCCCGCAGATAGAACATCGACATCGACTCGTTGCCCGCGGCAGCCGAGTCCTTGGTCCAGTGCGACACCCCCAGCAGCCCGTACTTCTCGGCGTCCGCGGTCATCGACGTCAGCATCCGTTGGTTGTACGCGCCCAGCTCCTTCCAGCCTGGGGCGAACATGCCCAGCGGGTGGTTGACGCGGGCGCCCAGGTGGAAGACGACCAGCGGCTGGGCGGCTGGGGTGGCTGGGAAGTATTTTGAGAGGGGTGGGGGGTTGCTGGTGGTGGTGCTGGTGGTGGTGGTTTTGCTGGTGGTGGATGTGGATGGGGTCGTCGGGTACTGGGCTGAGAATTTGGTCTGCAGGGTGTGGTCCATGTAGCGGTTGCGGGTGATGTGCGCGGCCATTAGCAGGTGGTCGATCACGCGGTACAGGAGGATGACGGTGGGCGGGATGAGGGATTTCGGGCCGAGGAGACTCCAGGCTACGCCCTGGAGGAGGGCGCCGCTCAGGAGCCAGCTGCTTAGGGTCATGTTGTCGCGGAGCATGGCGGAGAGGCTCGGGGGGTGGAAGGGGAAGCGGACGGGGCCATCTGGCGGGAGCGGTTGGGAGGGGAGGAGGGGGGTGAAGGTTGATTGTGATGGCGATGACATTGTGGTTGGATTTGGGGTGGTTTGGAGGGTAGGGATTATTTGGGAGGGGAGGGGAGTAAGCAGGGCTTATATAGTGCGTTGCATGGACGAGGGATCTCCAGGGTGAAGGTGAAACGCCATCTATCTAGGCGAGGTGGCCAATGATAAGTGAGGAGAGATAAGCAATTCCCACATGGCAAGGCTGAGCCTCAGCCTCAGCGGTGTCAGTACGGAGTCACGGACGGTACGAAGGTTACTAAAGTAACTAAACTTAACGTTACTTGTGAGCAAGTTACTCCGTACCGTATCCGCGTTCCGCATTCCAGGCGAATAAGCCACTTGTCTGCTGCTTCTGCCGCTGCTAACCCCAATCCAGCTAAACGCTTCCTGCTCCGACCAGGCTGTCTACCCCACCTTTATTATCACTCTAATCAAAAATGTTGAGAAATCATTAATTATCCCTACATATGAGAACGCTGGCCACCACATCCACCATGTTCATCCCCTACAACCCCACCGAGATGCAACCCGGCAAATCGCGTCGACCTGTCCACGCCCTGGTCGCCGCCCGCGCCGCCCAGCGCCGTCAACAGCACCAGTCCCCACAGTTCCAGCGTGGCTTGAGCACATTCGTAGTAGAGCCCGAAGACCAGAAGTCTAAAGATGATCTAGACAAAGATCGACGCCGCCGGGCCGTGCAGCGCAAGCCCGGCCGAACACTGCCGAGCCCGAGCCCGATCGGCACGGGGCGATTCTACCCGCTGGCGACCCCGGCCTCCAAGGGGCCCTGCACCGCCCGCGCGCTCTCTTACTGTGCGTAGCCCTATCCTTTCCCTCCCTTATACTTCCTGTCTTCCCCAAACCTCCCTACCCACAACCTACACTCCCCTATCTGTTCTGAACCAAGGAGGCGGGGCGGGGGAACAGACTTCGACATCCTCCTCCCGCACGACTCCCAAGTCCTCAGCCACGCCCCGGCGCAGCGCCAAACCTACGGCTCCGTCTTCCTGCACTGGTCCGCCCACCACGACATCATGCTGCACGGCCTCGCCGTGTTCGCGCTGTGCAACCTCGAGTCGCAATGCGAGGACCTCTCCGCGGCCTCCGCGGAGCTCCACGCCGCGGCCCTGTACCACCGCGCGCGCCTCCTCACCGAGATCCAGCACACCCTGGCCACGGGCCAGGTGACCGACCTCCTCATCTCCGCCCTCACCCTGCTCATCACGGTGGACGACCACCTCGCCAACGTCGCCTACAGCCGCGCGCACACCGCCGGCTTCGAGGCGGTGATCCGCGCCCGCGGCGGCGAGAGCCAGGTCGGCAGCTCCGTGCCGGCCATCAGCCAGGACCTGCGGACGGCGGCTAACGTCGCCCGGAGTCTGTTGGTGCTGCACATGCAGACATCCCTTTCTTCCGACGAGTCCGAGTCAGAGTCAGAGTCACCTTCCCCTCCCCCCAATCCTCCGACCTGGGACGTGGACACCTACACCCTGACCCAGACCCTCGATATCCCCAGGGGCTTCGCCACGTTAGTGAAGCAGGGCCGCATCACCCCGGCCGCGCTCGAGATCCTGGCCAGCTTCCACGACTGGCACGACCGCTACCTGCTCGTCGACGACCCCAGCAACATCCCCGTGTGGCGCCACAGCGCCTCGCGCCCGTTGAACCCGGTCGAGAAATGCATCTTCGTCGCCCTGCTGTGTCTCGCCGACGACGTCAGCCACATGGGCCTCCACCCGGCCGCCGTCATCTTCCGGCAGCCCAGGAAACGCGCGGAGATGCTGCTGGCTGTTCCCCCGTTGTGGACGGACGGTGCGTTGAAGGATTGTTTGGTCTGGCTGTGGATGGTGATTACTACGCCCAGGAATCGGGGGTTGACGCCGGTGAGGGTGCAGCGCGGGTTGTGGGAGCGCATCGTAAGAGAGGTGCGGGGGGATTTGCAGGCTTGGGGGGAGGTGGAGAGGGTGTTGAGGGGGTTTGTGTTTGATGGGAGGAGGGCGGGGGTTTGGGAGGAGACTTTTGGCAGGTTGCGGGGGCTTTAGGGGAGGGGAGGGGGTTTTGTTGTTTCATGCGTTAAGTAGAATAGAATTGATTGTTTACTTGAGAAAGAGAGTGTGTAATGCTTGGGGCTAAGTTTCTTGGGAGATGCCGGTACGGTAACTTTTACTCGAACATCAAGTCCATCTATACAACTCAAGAGAGGTAGGGCCACCCCAGGAACTCCACATTCCAGAACTCGTCATCGCACACGAACTCTCCCCACGGCTGATCCTCCACCGCAGACGGTTCTCCCTCCGACAGAATCCCCGACGGGGAACCAGAATCGGCCGGTTCGCTCGGACTTTTAGCATAGACCGACAAAGTCCACGCCTTAAGCATGTGTACCATCTTGATGAACGTGGCGAACACAGGCTCCCCCGTCTGCGACCGGCCCCGCTCTAACTTCCGTGCGATCTCGTCCAGCACGCCGGGCAGATCGACGGACCGTCGAATCAGCCCCGTATCCCAGGCGGGGTCGTCCAGCGTCCCCAGGCGGAGGGTGACAAGCACGACGGTCCGGAATTGCTTCCAGACCGGAAAAGGGAAGCCGACGTACTCTGCTGCGTCGAATTGGAGGATTGTGCGGATCCAGGATTTGATGGCTTCCACGCATTGGAATAGGTGGTTGAGGGTTTGCAGGTCTGTGTCGGTGGCGATGGGGACGGTGGAAGTGCGGAGGAGGGTGAGTTCGTTGATTGCTATCTCTGCGTGGGATGCCATTGTTTGGAAGGTTCCTGCACCGCAGTTAGGGTATGTCTCTGTTCTGTTGCAGCAATGGGTAACTGAAGCTCGACATACGGTTTGTCTTGAGATGCGCCGGGGCCTGGTGCCGCACCGCCGCCAACTCCATGTTGAGCGAAGCAACAAACGGCCCGATCATGCGCGTGCCCTCATCCGTCTTGCAATCCCCACTCTGCGCCCACACCCTGGTGACTTTCGCAGCGATCAGCTGCAGCCTGACCAGCCCCACCAGCAACGCGTCCCCGGGCGCCTCGTTTGTGACTTCCAGCACCGTTAAGCATTCCTCCAAATACGGCGACCAGGACAGACTCTCCACCCGCCCGTGAAACGTCGCCGCGCTACGACTCAGCATCAGCACCAACACCAGCACAATCAGACTCTCCGGAATGCAACCCACCTCGAAGTCAAAAGAAAACACGCCACCACCATCCGCCGATGCTCATGGGTCCGGGCGTCCGGCACGCGGATCTTGCCCTGGAACTGGCGCGGCACGGCGAGATGCTGCCGGTAGCCAACCCTACTAACCCCGCTGCTGCCTTCGCGCCGCTGCAGCTCAAGGTCCAGCGTCAACGCCGTACAGAGATGCGAGAACACCGTCAGCAGCGGGCCCATCGCGAACCGGAAATGGCCCCTACGGTCAGTCATCGCTCGTCAGCACCCAGGTGCATGGCAGAAATGGGAAGGGGTTACCATACCATGCGATCAAGCAAAGCAGCCCCAGCAGCAGATCCACCGTCCGCCGCCCTTCGACCACCACCTCCCGCGCCGCCATCTCCCGCACCGCGCGCCCTAACACCTCCTGACGCGGCCCGTCACGACACGTCACGGCCATGGCGCACGTCCAGAAGAACGGGCGCTCCTGGCGGAGCGTCCCAGCTGTAAGGGTGTGGTGGAAATGCACCAACGGAAGCAGAGGCAGATACCGCGTGCGGAGCACTTCCCAGTTCGCTTCTGCCTCCGCTGGGGCGAACTCCACGCCGGCGGGGAGCGCGTACGGGTTTGGCGGTGGGATGGTGTTGGCTGGCGCATCGCTCTGATCACTATTCATCGTCCACAATTTCTGGCTACCACCACCATTACCATCACTCTCACCAAAGCCATGCCCCGTCTGCAGCAACGACACCAACCCATCGAGCTTCTGCTCCAGCCGCGCGGTGCGCGAGGCGCGCGGTCGCCTTTGCCGGACCGTTGGCGCGGGGATGCATTCTTTTCTGAGTCGGATGCACCTATTCCCTAAAGGTCAGGATACATTGACCGGTTGGAGATATTACGATGGGATAGGGTAGGGTAGGGTAGAGTATGGGTGGTTACCTCTCACACCCGCCACCGGTCGTCCGCAGCAGGCACTTGCATTTTGCGCGGGCGCAGTTGAGGCACGCGCGGCCGTAGGGAGCCGTTCGTCGGCGGGGTTCCATTCAGATTTGGGTTCCCGGTTCGTGGGGTTTGATCGGATTGAAAAGATATTCTGGGGGACTTCAGGGGTGGTTCTTCTTCCGGTGTGGTTGTCAGGATGCAGGTGGTCTTTTCGGCGGGGTTCGGAAGCTTGGTATCTTCCGAACCCCGGGTTGGACGGAGCGGGATTCGGCGGATGGGCCGAGGCCCGCTTGCGAGCTTTGGCTAGAGTATCGTGTGAGTGGTAGGGAACCTTGGATTCTACTTTCAATCGAGTTTGAAGGCTTGGGTTGAGAATTAGAACTATCGGAGATTGTCGATGTCAACAATAGATAGGGTCGCAAGTTGATATTGCGTTTAGTTATTCTTTTCTTGATTTTCTGGGTGAGATCTGCATGCTGCGTACATGGGCTCTACACGCAATCCACACTCACTTAACGCAGTATGTGAGGTGATCAACAAAGGCACGTATCTTATCATGCAATCTATCGCGCACAGTGGCAGCTGTACGCAAGGTTGTGGACGGTCCTGCATCCAATCTGATCATATTGACCCATGTGTTGAGCAGGTTGTTGGATCGCCACAGGGGCAATGTCTGAAACCCAACTCGATCTGAAGAAATTCGCCCATAACATCGAAGCACCGTAGTTGTCAACTGTCCACGTCTGAACATTTATAATCACGCCCCAGCTCCTTTGTGGTCGCAGTCTAGCCGGAAGCACCGCCGAGGGACCAGCTGCCGGACTACATGCCGACCCGAGGTGTGTCCAGACCAGGCCGGAAATCCGGCCTCGGCAACAGAGCAATTAGGGTAATTTGAGAACCGAAGATAAGGGTTTGCCTATCAAGCTCAAGAATCTCAGAGCCGCATAAGCTGCGATACGCCTTCAGAAAGTAAACCGACTGGCGTCAGACTAGCTCGGCTGGTGCAAGCCTCTATGCCCTCGGCAGCCGTCGTGCAGGAAATATATAAGCAAAACCTCAGATCAGCCGCGGGAGTCAAAATCTGGCATTGCACCGCAGATCGACCCGATGAACCCAATCTACCCAGCCGCGGAACCGCGGCAAGGGGTTCAACCTTGACGTGGGTTCAACGTGTCGTAGAGATAGCATACCAGAATTATCCAGGCAAAGTGGTACACTAGTGTGGCACACATGCTGCCAAACCCGACAGCTTGGGACTCCACCCGGGTAGATCGGGATCGTCCCAATCGCGACATCATCCCTTATCGGGGTTCGCCCCCTTATCTGCCCAGCGTCTCGGCTTGCCGTTTTGGATGGGCTCGCGTAGGATGTTGCCTGTTCCGGTAATTGTTGGCTTGGCTGAGTTCATGATGCACTTTTGGTCGGGATGACAGGGTTTATTTTTTGGTTGTCTACCATGAGGGTGAAATTGCTTTGCTATCGACAGCAATGTAGATGCGTTGGCTATCGACAACTCAACATAGATTAGTACAGTACCTTTTCGCTGGCGCCGTGCGAATGGCTTAGTGAGCACTACAGTAACTGACGGCATGCACGCACGGCAGCGCAGCACTCGGGACAGGCGGCAATGGCTAGCATCTAGAACACCAAACCCAGGCACCAGGGGAAGAAGAGCTCTCACCAATAAGGTAGCTGCTAATCAATATGCAACCCTTTCGGTGGATACACGATGTGTTTAGCATAAGCTGCTCCCCTCGCAGCCCCTTTCCCTTTCAGTCGAGCGGCAGTTCGGCTCGCTGCCGCTGTCCGAGCGTTTTCCCTCTAAGTTATATTCAAACTTTCAGGTACCAGAGGCAAATCGCTCATACTGCGGAACTGTTCCACCGGCAGAGTCGGTTCGGACGCCCGTCAGCCTCCCATTCCGCGTAACCGTGCACTCGTACATATACCTGGTCCGATCCCACCTGGTTCGCTAGGTTGCAGCACAATACCACAACGTCTTATTTGATACTTTGTTATTAGTCTTAGTTCTAGTTCTTTCGTTTTCGAACTTTGCATGGTTACAGAAATCTCCACTCACTGAACACGTTCGACACACTCCCCAAAAACATGGAATCTTTCCATGAGGAGCCGTCGGCTTCGACAGCCCCAACGGAATACGGCGACCACTCCGACGATGAGGCCCAACTCTCCGAGAAAAAGACACACCTAGGGATCCCCGAGATCAACGTCCGCGAGGCCCCCAGCGCCGAAACCCTGGCCGTGCCCGAGTCCGGGATCCGCGAAGCCCGCAGCGCCGAGACGCTGGCCAGCCCCAACCACCACCACGACCCTCACAGCACCCCGCAACAACCGCGCACCGAGACGGAATGGAGCATGGCCGACCGCGTCCGGGAGAACCAGCGCCGCTCCGAGGCGGCGGGCTACAAACGCCGCGAGCTGGGGGTGACGTGGCAGAACCTGACGGTGGAGGTGGTGGCGGCCGAGGCGGCCGTCAAGGAGAACCTGATCACGCAGTACAACGTGCCGCAACTCGTCCGGGACTTCATGCGCAAGCCGCCGCTCAAGTCGATCCTGCAGGACAGCCACGGCTGCGTCAAGCCCGGCGAGATGCTGCTGGTCCTGGGCCGGCCGGGGTCCGGGTGCACCACCCTCCTGAAAATGCTGTCCAACCGCCGCGAGGGGTACCGCTCCGTTTCGGGCGATGTCTTCTTCGGCGACATGGGCCCCCAGGAGGCCGCGCAGTACCGCGGCCAGATCGTCATGAACACCGAGGAGGAGCTCTTCTACCCGCGTCTGACCGTCGGGCAGACCATGGACTTCGCCACCAAGCTCAAGGTCCCCGCCAACCTGCCCGCCGAGAACTACGTCGCCGACACCAAGCAGTTCCTGATGGAGTCGATGAAGATCGCCCACACCGAGGACACCAAGGTGGGCAATGAGTTTGTACGCGGCGTGTCGGGGGGCGAGCGGAAGCGTGTGTCGATCATCGAGTGCATGGCCACCAATGGCTCGGTCTTCACCTGGGATAACAGCACGCGCGGTCTCGATGCCAGTACCGCCCTGGAGTGGGCCAAGGCCCTGCGCTCGATGACCAACATCCTCGGGCTGTCGACGATTGTGACGCTGTATCAGGCCGGAAACGGAATTTACAACCTCTTCGATAAGGTTCTGGTGCTGGACGAGGGCAAGCAGATCTACTATGGCCCTGCTGCGTCGGCGAAGCCGTTCATGGAAGAGCTTGGGTTCGTGTACGCGGACGGTGCCAATATTGGTAAGTCATAGATATTGTATTGCTGTGACTGAGGAGAGTGAGGGCTAACAGCTGTCAGGTGACTATCTCACCGGTGTGACCGTCCCAACCGAGAGGAAGATCAAGCCGGGCTTCGAGAACCGCTTCCCTCGCAACGCAGACGCCATCCTCGCCGAGTATCGCCAGTCACCCTTGTACCAGCACATGATCAGAGAATATGACTATCCCTCCTCGGACATCGCCCGTCAACGCACGCAGGACTTCAAGGAGTCCGTTGCATGGGAGAAGTCCAAGCGCATCCCCAAGAATAGTGCGCTGACCACTGGGTTCGGCGAACAGCTCCTCGCCTGCACGATCCGTCAATATCAGATCCTCTGGGGGGAGAAATCCACCTTCCTGATCAAGCAGATCCTGTCCATCATCATGGCGTTGATTGCCGGCTCCTGCTTCTACAACTCCCCGCAGACGACCGCCGGCCTGTTCACGAAAGGCGGCGCGGTCTTCTTCGCCCTGCTTTACAACTGCATCGTGGCCATGTCCGAGGTCACCGAGTCGTTCAAGGGCCGCCCCGTGCTCGTGAAGCACAAGTCTTTCGCCATGTACCACCCGGCCGCCTTCTGCCTGGCGCAGATCACCGCCGACCTGCCCGTGCTGCTGGTGCAATGCAGCCTCTTCGCCGTGGTGCTCTACTGGATGGTGGGGCTGAAGCACACGGCGGCGGCCTTCTTCACCTTCTGGGCGATCCTGTTCACGACGACGCTGTGCGTGACGGCGCTGTTCCGCTGCATCGGGGCCGGGTTCAGCACCTTCGAGGCGGCCTCCAAGATCTCCGGCACGGCCGTCAAGGGCATCGTCATGTACGCGGGCTACATGATCCCCAAGCCGCACATCAAGAACTGGTTCCTGGAGCTGTACTACACCAACCCCTTCGCCTACGCCTTCCAGGCGGCGCTGTCCAACGAGTTCCACGACCAGATCATCCCCTGCGTCGGCAACAACCTGGTCCCCTCCGGCCCCGGCTACGAGGACGTCGACCCGGCCAACAAGGCCTGCACCGGCGTGGGCGGCGCCGTCCGCGGCGCCGACTACGTGACGGGCGACCAGTACCTGGCCTCGCTGCACTACAAGCACTCGCAGCTGTGGCGCAACTACGGCATCCTCTGGGCCTGGTGGGGGTTCTTCGCCGTGCTGACCATCGTCTGCACCTGCTACTGGAACGCGGGCGCCGGGTCGGGCGCCTCGCTGCTCATCCCCCGCGAGAAGCTCAAGGCGCAGCGGCGCGCGGCGCACCGCGACGAGGAAGGCCAGCACGAGAAGGGCCCGGCCCACGAGAAGGGGTCCGGCGACGCCCTGGCCTCGGTGGACGACGACAACCTGAGCCGCAACACCTCGATCTTCACCTGGCGCAACCTGACCTACACGGTGAACACGCCCACGGGCGAGCGCGTGCTCCTGGACAACATCCACGGGTGGGTGAAGCCCGGCATGCTGGGGGCGCTGATGGGCTCGTCGGGCGCCGGCAAGACGACCCTGTTGGACGTGCTCGCGCAGCGCAAGACCGAAGGCACCATCAAGGGGTCGATCATGGTGGACGGGCGCGAGCTGCCCGTCTCGTTCCAGCGCATGGCGGGCTACTGCGAGCAGTTAGACGTGCACGAGCCCTACGCCACGGTGCGCGAGGCCCTCGAGTTCTCCGCTCTTCTGCGCCAGTCGCGCGACACCCCGCGGGCCGAGAAGCTCAAGTACGTGGAGACGATCATCGACCTGCTGGAGCTGCACGACCTGGCGGACACGCTGATCGGGACGGTGGGCAACGGGCTGAGCGTGGAGCAGCGCAAGCGCGTG